ATATACTAAATTTGGTATCACGTGACTGTGAATAGATGACGAAGGTGAACGATACATCTAAACATGATAATCATCACACGGAAGTCATATACGGCATCGTTTACCTCCACCTCGGAACGTTGGGCTGGTTTTAAAGTGACATGTGAACCTTTCTTATTCGTGCTTCGCATATCATCTATTCCCATTGTACGGGGAATCTGCAAATTTTTTTCGTATTCTTGGCCAAAAAACGGTTTGACGTTCCACTGCGAGGCGCCAGTCTTCATTTTGTTTCTCTTGAGGTCACGCACTCTCGATTTTTTTCAACGCCCAAATAAGGGCACTACGATGGCATCGTGTCGTTTCACGTGACATGACGTCAAGCCTCGTGGCGTCATGATGACGTCACAAGTGTTTGCGATCTGCGACATCGTGTTGGTGTGATATGCTGACGTCCTGACGCGATGATTTTTCGCATCACTCGTCTCCGGCCCCGTGGAACGGTCTCCGTTGTTAATCAATCTTTCCGTTTGATGATACATCTAAGACTTTCGCCTTAAAAAAGGTAGGTCTATAGCCATCAGACGGGCCTTGAAGTTCGAAATGTTTGACCAATGTCCTTATCATGTCTTGGGAGTGAGACCACCAGCAATTTCTCTAGTGTCGGAGGTCTTACACTGGTAGCTATAAGTCCGAGCCTTTCGCCCGTGACCGCAGAATCCCACAGAAGGTAGGCGTTATTCGGGAAGCCACCGCAGGTCACACAGGCAGAAAATTTGTCCTTGTCTTGTATTTTGCGCTGAATGTGATTGAAAAGTGAATCTGGGTATGCCTCACAAGGGCTGCCTCGCGTCTCGTCATGAAGTGAGGTGGCATCAACCCTGCGGTTGTTGCGCATCTCGTCTAAGCATGCAATAGATTCACTTTTCTTGCCGAGATTCACATCTGCATACCTTTCTCTCTGTCTAACAGAGATGTTAATACTTATAAGTGACATCGGTGATTACTATTTTCTGACCGAATGTATGAAGCTCTGCAAATGAGGCATTTTTGTTAATGCAGTCACACGCATAAAAAATGTAATGGTTACAAAGCATGAAGATTCTTACGGTGGTGCTATTGAAATATTTAATGTATGTCCCTTTTGAAACTTGTGTCCCGAGCAATCTCCGTTTTGGTGCATGCCCTTTCACGAGGTCATCATTAACCCTCTCTGCACGTGAATAAGAGCCTCCAAAATTAAAAGAAAATTGTGCTGTAACAACCACTCAAGCATATTGCACCATTTTGAATAAACAGTACAAGTGTATTAACATTGTAACAATGTCAGCTGAAAACTACGGTGGTTAACGTCATTAATGTTTGTTTACATTTTTCGCTCTATTTATGTAATAGAACAAGCTTTTGGCAAAGAAGAAGCATTGCACTGGCAAATCCTTCGCTATCGAACAAGTGGTTCACTTGAGCAGGTTGTTTTGACACCTGGTAGATATATTCCAAAAATAGAAATGAATGCACACACAACTACATCGGCACATGCTATTTAAAGCAATGAAAAATGACGTCAAACAGTCATTCTCAAAACAATTAAACGAACAAAGACGATATTCTTATAAAATTATTCATTCCTCAAGAATCCTAACTTTATCGCTCTGTTGTATTTTTTAGGGGCAAAGCTCCTTAGGGCGTGGGCTGTGCGTCCCCTGTAGCCTGTATGTAGCCACCTCTAGTTTAGTTCTTGCAGTGTTCACTAGATGGCGGTACCGTCCCCTGTATGTAGCCACCTCTAGTTTAGTTCTTGCAGTGTTCACTAGATGGGGGTACCGTCTCCTGTGTGTAGCCACCTCTCGTTTAGTTCTTGTAGTGTTTACTAGATGGTGGTACTTGTAGCTGATGATGAAAAGATGCAAGATGTTAACTAGAAAGCGGTACTTGTAGTTGATGAAAGACGCGAGATCTTATAAAATAGGAATGATGTCACATATGGCGCGTGTCATTGGTTGAAGGCAATCGTTCGATTTAGTGCGGTGACGTACGCTAGGGGGAGCGATGTAATAAAATCGAGTGGGCAAAATGTACAGAGGATTCATGGTTTACCAGGTTTACCTCCGGAGCTTCGCCCACTCATCATCATTCACTTCGTGGTTATGGCGGAATTTTTTGCTCTTCAAAGACCAATCCACCGAAGCTTTCTTTCTGAGCGTACTAGACGCTTATCGAAAGTTTTCCTAATTGGCGCTCTTACTTTTCACATACACTCGTTTTTATCTTCTCTCATCGGTCAAGCGAGAAACACGTAGTAAAAATAGACCGCGCGCTTTCGTAACAGGACTCCTTAAAGAAGGTGATAAGAAGTGATCTTACTCTGACGTCCAGACGTTGTGAGGCCTCTAAGCTCCTAAAGATCTTCGCAGAGGACAATTTTTTAGATCCCATTTGACATTCGCAAGCTCTTCATTGCGTCTGAACGACTGATTTGCAAAAACAAAAAAAAAAAAAGAAATGCTCAAATTTGTGTCAACAACCACTGAGATCAGTTTACTTTTTCTGTAGGCGGGATGTAACTCTCATCGCTTTCAAAGGTTACTGGTCGCGAAACAATAGGCATATGCGCAACAAGGCCCATATACAGCGCAGTGGCAGTGCTTGAGAATATTTGGGATGGCTCCATTTATTTGAAAGGTTTAGAAAAAACCAGGGTCCTAGTCGTATCGGGATAATAGGGGCGATCAAAGATTTGTGCTTAAGCGGCTGACCTACTTCTCTTTTTCTCTTTTTCTTCCCAGCCTTTTTTTTTCTTGAGTTCTTTCTGTATTTTGTTGTTTACTTCCTTCTCTCTTTCTCACTTTCTTATTGCTTTCTTTCCTTCTTTCATTCTTTTTTTTCTTTGTTTCCTCCTTTATTTCTTCCCTTCTTTAGTTCTTTGTTTCTTTGTTTCCTTTTTTTCTTCATTTCCTTCTTCAGCTACGTTTTCTTTCTCTCCTCCTTTCTTTCTTTCTTTCACATAGCGCAACGCTCCCTCCTAAACGTTTCTTTCACCCATTCTTATAAGTAAGCCTTCACCCACGTGCTTAGCAGCGCAACGCTTCAGTTGCTGCAGGTCATGACGGTGGCCATGCGTTCACATGCAGGCGACAATGAGTGCACGGGGATCGACAAGTTTTATAAATGACAAGTGACGACAACAGATAAGACTGCACCACATCAGAAGCAGCTTACCGCCGACAACCCTACACGAGCGGTATACCGATACGCATACGTGACCGGCTCATGTTCGAAGTCGCGCCTGCGCTCACGTGCATAGATTTCTTCGCTTATCATACACCCACCGGTATTTGTCAGTCGTGACTAGCTTCGCTTAAAATTTAAACATAAATACAGAAGATGCGAAAGCTGAGCTATATATGGGAACAGCTAAGACAAGATAACTCTTTTGACCAGAAGTACTTCAGACAGATTGCCGTCAAGCCCAATGAAATCTACAGTGATCACTTCGAGGTGCTCGACCCTCGCTTATTTCCTAGCCAATCGAGCGAATAGATTATCTACAAATTTGTCAACCCTGAAACACAAGCGATTTTCGGGTAATACTTCCATTGTTGCAAACGAGGCGAAAAAAGTAGAAGCCCTTAAAGTCTTATGCTGCATCATTGTAACTGTTACTTGCGCATAACGCATACAACAATTATGAAGAGTATTTGTCTCACTGCAGCTGGATTTGCCCATATCAATTTCTCTCTCACACACATTATTCCTTTTGTAATAATAATATAATATTTGTCGGGGTTCAACGTCTCCAAATCCCCATAATATGAGAAGCGCCGTAGTGGAGGGCTCCGGACATTTCGACGACCTGGGGTTCTTTGGCGTGCACCTAAATCTAAGCACATGTGCTTCAAGCAATTTCGCCTCCATCGAAAATAAGGCCGCCGCGGCCGGTAATCGATCCCACGACATGTGGGTCAGCAGCCGAGTGCTTTAGCCACTAGATCCCTATCGCGGGTTTTCCCTTTTGTATAGCTCACCCGGACATGGCTGCCACGTTGATAATCATTGTATTATAATATAATATTAAAGGGACACAAAATAGAAAGAATGAGTTGGTTTTAAATTGATAAAGTACCATCTGAGGACTAATCACACAAGTATCAGTATCATAAGTTTCTTAATAGCGGAGAAAATTGTTTGAAGCTTCATTTTCTAATTTCGCGCCGAAATTTCTGTGCATGGCGTAACAAATTTTAAAATGTATATTTCGCATTTTCTGAAACTTTGTGTGCTAGGTTTATGGCACTCGCATATGATAATGCAGTTTTATTTTATTGATTATCGGCTACGTAGGACCCAGTAAACGCATTCAAATTTTATGAAATCATGGTGTTTGGTGCGGGAATTTCAAGGTGGCGTTTCCACCTGCAATTCCTTTTCGCGGATTCTTTTTTCGTTTACGAAGCGTCGTATCTCGGTGAAAATGGTGTTTACGGGATTGTGAAATAGCATTTTACCAGTACACGGATGATCGTGTTGCTCCTTAGTGTCCCTATAAAAGGGTTCATTGTTGCACTCTGAAGACAATAGTTTTTCAGCAGATAATCACTATTATCAATGTGAACCTCAGACGCAAACCGTACTATTCGCGCTCCTTGATTCCACAGCCGCGGCGGCTGCATTTCCGATGGAGGCGGAAATGTTGTAGGTCCGTGTGCTCAGATTTGGGTGCACGTTAAAGAACCCCAGGTGGTCGAAATTTCCGGACTCCTTCACTACGGCGTCTCTCGTAATCATATGGTGGTTTTGGGACGTTATACCCCACATATCAATCATTGATTACGCAGCTTCTTAATTTGGTGATACTGTAAGCGCTTGTCCCGGTCATTTTCTTTAGTTCTTGTACCGGCCTTGAGAAGCCACGCCTTTTCCCCTTCCACTTCGCGGAACCAAAGCAGTCCGAAGTTTGGTGCTGGTACCATCACAAGATGACTTTTAACACAAACGCGTCAAAGCAACCCAACTTTACTCACTTGCCAGCACCACTCTCCTGGAACAGAGTCCTTGCCCCCCGTGATCCTTGCTGCATGACGTCGGTCAGGCGCGGAACCTGACCCGCCCCCTTTCACTCCGCACGTCGAAGGGCGTGGTGGGCGGCGGCCCTTCGCTACAGACGGGGCCTCTGAAACGGGTAAGAAAGATCATGAAAACACAAAAACATCCGTGCTTAGCAGTCAGAAGTCAATCCATCGATGGTTTGTCGAAGGAGAATACTTTCCAACCTCTTTGACACTTTCTAAGAATTGTCTTGGACACTTTCCAAGGAATCACAGTTGTATAGGAGAAGCCAGGCAAATCTCAGAGACGACTGAACGATTAAAAAAAAGTAACATGTACGGAAACAACCATTTTTATAGCCCTGGCCAAGCATAGACACCACCTCAACGACGTCATGGATAGAAATAAGGTATCTGTGATTGTCAAACAAAAAAGCATGACAAAGAGTTTGCTGTAATCTGTACTTGTTTAGTCGACAGCTGGTACAATCAACCTAACGGACAGTGCCTGAAGCCACGTTGTTCGCCATCATTACGTTCTGTGCCTCCCTATTAAACGGATGAAGATTTCATCTGTGAACCAGCGTTCACAGATTAAATGCACAAACGCCGGCTAATAAATATCTTGGATTGAGTAAACAGATGAACGGAGAGAGGAAGAAACACCGTATCTGTGTCTCTTGGTGTCTTCGGCTTACTTGCTTTCCCAAGCTTATTTTTCTAAAGAGTGTATTACTTACTCACTCACAGTGGTCTAGTGGGTAAGGCACTCAGCTGCTGACCCACAGGTAGTGACATCAAACCCCGCCCGCATTTTTGATGGAAGCGAAAATGCTTGTAGCTCCGTGCAGCGTATCTAGGGGCACGTTAAAGAACCCTACGTGATCGAAATTTCAGGAGCCCTCCCCTACAGCGTCTCTCAAAATCATATGGTGGTTTTAGGACGTTGAATTTGAACAAATAAGAGTGTACTACCTTTTGAAAGTCCCTGTATTTTTTGAGCCACGAAAAAAAAACGTTTCGCACGATAAACCACTTACCCTTAAATATGAATAACATTAACCGTATAAATATTTAAGAGAGGCGTAACATAGTCATGTGCAAAGCGAGTGCAGTGAAAGTCCTCGGAATGCGTGTAGATTGTACTTTTAAAACAGCGAAGATAAAGAAAGTGACTTGGGGGAAGCAATGCGTGCGATAGCAACAAGTGGAATGCGGCAGTTGCGGGCTCTGACGTGGATGCCCAAGAGCGTGCTCGAATTAGGAGGCATGCTTATATGCTTTACGCTAGTGACAGCGTGGAAAGGCGTGCTTGTTTAATCCAAGAAGCACGTTACCTCGGGCCCTTTCGGCATCTCGATTCCAAAAGACGACGCATTTTGGCTGGTAACACGCGCCCTCAGGAAACGTGTGACTTGAATTGAAGGTGTCATGACACGGTCACACAAAAGTTTGAGGTTTCGAGGGAAAACTAGAAGCAGTCGGTCTATTATGCCTATACAGATATCAAAGGTGTCATGACACGGTCACACAAAAATTCGAGGTTTCGAGGGAAAACTAGAAGCAGAGGGTCTATTATGCCTATACAGATATCAAAAGTGGGCCGTAAAAAATATTTCATTGCGAAACAGGCCCTAGAAGTTACCGACTGTAAATCCCGTCCACCACCGACGAACATCATTTTGCCTTGGCGCCTGTGACTCCGGCGAAACAAGCAGTGGTGCCGTCGTCTCCTACCTCAGTTTCAGCCGCTGTGAACCACTCAATTTCAGTGACAAGTGGAAGAAAGCTCAAGTACCTCGATATCACGCCCTGCTGGCCGCGAAAACATATCGTTTGCCGAAATGCAGACGCTCGCACGGCCAGCTGCTCGTTATACGTCATGGCTTGTGACTGCACCATGGTTGCCCGACTCTCAGGCAGCTTGTGTGTTTGTAAAAACGTACTCTATTATAAACTAGGTGCTGTACCAAATGTGCTCGAATTTCGCTAGCTTAGTTAAGGATGGACACACATAACGCAAATTATGATCGAGAATCAGGTATCACGGCACCTTTAAACAAGAGCATTTTCTACGTTGTCACTTGTGCAAAGAAGGTCAGCATATCTATTAGGTCGCGCATGTGCTAGGGCACACAACGTAAGGACCCGCAACTGCCACAAGGCGTCGCCTCAAAGGGCAAAGTTGGCTGCTCGCACCCTCTACACAGACGTGGACCTGACTGTACAAAGGCATGAGCCGTCTGCCAATCTATGTCAAGATAGGACACGAGTGACAACCATTCCCGACCAGTTCCGAGTAAAAATACTGAAGATTAGGCCAAGGTGATGGCATGGCAATGTCCCTTAAATTGATACAGCGCAGCTCAACTTGAGCATGAAGGAAAGAGACAACAGCAAAGGTGGAAAGAAGCGTACACCATAATAATCCTGTTGCCGTCATTTACTTTTTTACTACTTCCTATTTACTTTATTTACATGCCCAAAATGAGCTGCACAATGGCAATGCGACGTTCAAATTATGCAGTTTCTGCCGAAACCCTCACGCAGCCTTCCACTGAGCCTAGTCCCACTATTAATGAGAGCCGGTGCGATTAATCTCCGCTAGAGCCACGATCATCGGTTGCCATTGCGTGCGTTCACGCGCACATCAAACTTACAATGGCGAAACGTATACGTTGTTAATGATTAGGACTTCACATGAAACCTTACGGCGATGCTGACGGCAAAAATGCGTGTGGAGTGCCGATATCATTGTTGTCGCAGTAGTGTAAGAAGAGGTGCACATTTTTTTTATGTAAAATTGCGAACGTGGCAGTAACAAAGCCACAAAAGAGGAAAGATAATGCCTAGAAACGATCGCGCGATAACGAACTGCGCAAATTAGAGATTCAGATTTAATTACTGAGAGAAAACACAGCGTACGCGAGCCATAAGAGTGTCGAGGAAGACGCAAAATATAGGAAGAGGCAATATAAGAGCACTGCCAGAGAGAAGGAATAATCAGCAACCATAGGCTATAGGCATTCTTATTATATCCGGCACACAGTACACGAAGCAAATGGTTTTTTTTTAGAACATGTGTTTCCTAAATTTAGTAGGTAACTAAACTATGGCAGTGACTCCAGACGCAGCCAAAACACTTGTCCTGTAGAGCATTTCCTATATGCGGCACCGAAGACGTGAAACGTATTCTGTTACAAGTTCAGCCAGGTGTACCGCAAAGGCGCCGAAACGAGTCATTTGTTCTGCTGCAGAGCGAGTTGTACCAATGTGATTTTTCAAAGGTAGTTTGAGCTGTAGCGATAAACGATATGTAATAGAATGCACATGAACAAGTGCCAGCGCTCAACCAGGTCCGCCAGCAACTGCGCATGCACACAGTGTATGTACCTAAAGTGTTGCACATAATCGACGGGCCGAAAGCTGTCTTTCAGCAGCAGCAAGGATACTACGGAAAGCACACAGCTTATCAGCAAACACTCGTAACAGCGACATTTGTATACAATGTTTTCATACTGTTAAACAAGCTTATTCTATAGCTACCACCAAACACAAAATCACTGGTCTTAAGCGTCACTCTTTTTTACCTCACATCCCCGGATAGCTTCGGCTGATATCGACTGCCCCTTCATGCATCCTTTCTATGGGTGCTCTCTCTCCCTTTCTTTGTTTTCATCGGGACTTGAAATGCCCGAGCCAAGCTACGTATTTGCTTGAAATCAAGAACACGCAGGAAAAAACAAACCCTTAAACAATAACTTGAGGATAATCAGTTCTATGTAACCCGCTTTGTATCAGTCTTCCTTGAAGTTTTTCTCAACATCATTGTTTCACCCACATATCCTTGCTGCCTATGTGTATCTACTACCTTCATGAAATGCTGGTTAACGTATTACCTTGCGCGTGGAAGTGATGCATCCTCTTACAGTTCCGGCCTTATGAAGCGCGCGAAAAAAAAAAATACTAAGTACATCCTGTATCGGAGCCGACCCTTCTAATTTCTGACTCTTTATACGCGATTCGCAATGGTGCTCGCCCGAATCGGGTCACTATGTCGAGAAGGAGGCGGGAGTGCGCTTTTCTTTTTCTTGTCGAGCGTTGTGTCACCAGGTTATGCAAAGCGTGGCCACAACTGGGTCCCCTCCTGCCCTTGGCACGCGCGCTCTCTTCGACGCCCACTAGCGGAACGCTGCGCGCTCTGTTAACTAAATGGTAGGCGGAGAAGGGAGGACACCTTCCTGCTTCCTTCTCCAGCAACAATCCCCTCCCTTTCCTCTAGGTGTGTGAATGTAGTCACGTGGCGTCTACATCGCATGAACGGGCCCAAAATAAGAAAAAAAGAAACAAAAAAGGAAGTCTTGCCATAGACATCAAAGCAGGCTTGAAAACCTAGTAACTGTCACGTCTAACTGCTTGTCAGGGAAAGTGGGGCGACCACGTCTGAGTCATTTACAATGGCACGAGGTCTGAAGCGTATACAGTATTGTTCGGTGTTACGTTCCAGCGTCAAAGCGGGTTCCGTCCAAGCAGGATTAAAGAACTTCGCTTATGGAGAGTTGAGAAACAGCTAAATAAAGAGCGCAATGCACATGTAGGGCCTAAAGACAGGATGTAAGAAGGGAGTGGTTGACAAGCTCACTTGGCTAAACAAAATTATTGGCAGATAACTGTGTAGCTTGGTCGTTACCAAGAAGGTTTTACAAAATTCTTGCTTGGTTTTCACAGATGTGTGCCACAGATATGTGGGCGAAACAATGGTGGGCAAACCACCAAGGATGAATGATACATAGTATATAGGTATATGGAACTAAACGTCTTCACACTCGTCCTTGTATCTGCAACATTACTCGAAGTCTATAACTTGTGCGAACGCTTCGACTGATGGTGCGATCCCACACATACATGTCAGCGCGTTTACTGCTCATTTGCTTCTTTCCTTCCCTGATCTCTTTCTCTCGTCTTTCGATTCCCCGTTCCCATTCTGTCTGCGTAGGGTTGACGATTAACCGAACACTTCTCCTGTTAACCTTTCTGTCTTCCTTTTGCATTTTATTTCTTGCTCCACCTCATCTTCCTCCTACTCTTACTTAAATACTAATTTATAAAAACACGAAGTGAAAAAAAAGACAACTCGCATGGACTGTGTGAAGTAATGAAACTCAAGCTCTCAATGTACAATGGACTGTAGTGCACTTGTTCTTTAATACTATTGTAAAGTTTTATCGCAAGCACTGCCAGACCAATACTAGAAGAAGAAGCATCATGAAGCACGATAGAAATAAATGGGCAAGCTCGATTTTGGGAAAGGCATCACCTCTAACAGTGTATATAAAAGACTTTCTTAACTACATCGATGGAATCGAGTGATTCTGCGAATACTCTACGCCATATCCCAAACAGTTCATGACCACCTGGTTTTGAATTCCTCGGATATCATTTCAGGCTATGCGTTAGGAATACGATTTCGGCGAGTCAGAAACGTTCGAAAGAAACGAACACGAAAATCACGCACGTGCGAAGCGTTAGAGTAGAAAGAGACGCACGACTTACTCGTTGTGCTGGAAGGCAATGCGGTCGCGATCTCGGCGTCTTGGAGCAAGAAGCTCGGCTGTTGAAGCATCTTCCTCGGGGGAGCAGTGGCTACGGGCTTGGGTCTATGCTGGATTTCAGGCGGCTGCTGAGCCTCGGGTCGCGCCACCTGCCGTGGTGGCGATTGCTGTGGTCGAGAACCCGGGTCGGGGTTCAAGGCTGCCCGTGGTGGCGGTTCCGACGGCGGCGACGGAGGGGGTGGGGGATTATCCGGCCTTAGCTGGTCTTCGTTGACAGTTGGAGAGGTGGCCGCGGCTTCCTCGGCCATCCTCTGCACTTGGGCCACGTTAGCACAACACACCAGACCTTCTTGTGGACACAGAAGTCTCGGATGGATGGCGTTCTCGCCAAAGCAGGCGAAACGCAGGTAACTCGAAATGCAGTTGCCCGGGCACGGAGGAGCTCTTTGATGTTGGTGCTGCTGATGTTGTTGCTGCTGTTGAGGTTGTAGATGTGTCGCAGCGGGAAGGGCGTTGGACTCCCCGCCTCCCGGTCTCTCGTCGGAGCTGGAGGGCCTCAAGGGCCTCAGGATCGGCTGGTTAGACGCGTCGTTAGCCAAGCCGATCTGGGGTGGACCCTGTTGGTTGTGCCCTTGAAAGTCCATGCTGCTGGGACTAGGAGGCCTGGGTCCTGCAAAGAGAGTGCGCTGCTTCGTTGCTTCCGCTTAATGTAGTGAATTATGTGTGGGCTAGGTGTCAAGCAGATGCAAACACATGTCATGCAGTTGGCATCATTTACAATGCATATCAGTGCGTTTTCGAATAAGGCAAACAAAAATGGAGCACTGGCATAACCTTGGGCGCTAGCTCGAGAAGTTGATTCTATAACTTCTGCTCGGCCAGACGTCCAGGTCTGGATCTCATCCCTCTGTTCTCACTGCATTAGTTTTGTCACCGAAACTCGGGAACGAACAAGAGACAGTCAGCTATTCTCTGTTTTGTTGCTGTTTTGTGTTTGGCTTTCCCGTTTGCTTGTACTTCTTTGAATTCTGGTTACAGGCTTGTGAACATGCTCACGCATTGTTGCTTCTTGCATTATACATCCACGAAATAAATGCAATTGGCGCTAATTTTGAGGAACAAATTACAAACTTCGATACAAGTACAGATTACATGTGAGAATTCGAAAACTGGTAATGAGTTGAAATGAATTTGTTTTTCTTCGCTGGGTTCCACTATAATTGTCTCACATATCTTGCTGTGGTACCGTCCTTTGTAGGAGCGACCATCGTCTTTATTTAACGTGCCCAACATTACGTCCTCCTTTTATAGGGCTTCTTTCCTTGCGTCTCAATGTGTTGCGTCTCACACATGTTGCGTCTCACATTATTCCTTGCGTCTCGATATGTTGAATGAAGGATGCATCACGTAATAATGTCAGTGGACATTACGTGTTCGCTAGCACCGGCAGGGGTTATGAGCTAGCTTAATCCTCATTTTGACCATTTAAGTGATGAAAACAGCGTGTTGAAGTATTCCAGAAAAAAAAACAACCTTAAAGAATTCACTAGTTAAGGTAGTTGATCACTGAATAAAGTCAAGATTGATCAGAGAAACACATGACTTTTTTTCTATATTTTGCCATATTTAGGCTTTTATGTCTACTGAAAAAAATTCGGTATATCCCACGTACATTGAGATTTGACGTCATGCGAAGCATGCGGAGGGAAGGGGATCATGTTGTAATTATTTTATTGGGAAGGGAATCATGGTGCAATTTTTATGAAATGACGCTAAGTATATGTACAGACGTTGCACGCGCAGGCATATGTTAAAGAGTTGCAAATGTTCATATAACCAGTTGTTTGCGCTTGCGCAACGGTGCCAGAGAGAACGTGAGTATTAGCATAACCAGAAGTGAAAAGGTGATATGAAGCGCTGGTATCCCTGGACACTGTTTCATAAATCAATTTCAGCATAAGACATCTAACTGAAATTGACGTTAACCCGACGTGACGGCTGTATCAAGGGAGTACATATGTAATGTTTATAAAATTTAATGGCCACCACTGCAATCGCTATTGACGTTTCACGAACATTAGGGTATATTTTAAAAGTAGTTCCGAGGCCTGGCATGGCTCTGTGGTAAAATGCTTGATTTCTACGCACAATGCTTGGGTTTGATTTCTGTAGGGATCCTGACATTTATTCTTTGCATTCGTCGGGTCAACGTTGCCGATGTCAGGTATTTCTTAACGTTCACATGTTAGAATAGCCCAAGTGTGGCCTCATAATTGCTGGGTAGAGTCACCCGTTACGCATACCCACATACCAGTGGGACATACCTACACACTGGTATGTGCCACCGTTTCGCAGGAAGTGTTCGACGACGTACGTGCTGGTAATGTGTCTTGACCAGTGCGTCATATTCATCACACCATCTTACCCTCCCATACTGATTTCGGTTCACGACAAGTTAAGGGGTTCATCACGAGAGTATCCAGACGTAAGCAGCCAGATAGATAGATAGATAGATAAATAGATAGATAGATAGATAGATAGATAGATAGATAGATAGATAGATAGATAGATAGATAGATAGATAGATAGATAGATAGATAGATGCTAAATGTTCTTTCAGTTTGCAACGAAAAGCTTCGCATTAAAAAATGATACCATGGGAACTAGGTAATATAAGAATAGGCGTCACACTTACCGGGGCGTTGCATAGACCCAGGAGGGTGGTGTTGGGATGGCCTCAATCGCTTCGGAGGACCAAGTCCTTGTTTGACCGGCCGAAGTCCACCTTGTGGTGGTCCCTGCGGGGGCTGCTGAGAAGGCTCTCTGCGTGTACCATCCGGTCGGCCTTGCTGCGGAGGCGCGACGTGCTCATGCTGTGGTCGCCGGTGCACTCTATCACCACCATCCAGGGCTATCTGATCTATCATGGCCTGATCGACGGGTATTACTGCATTCAGCTGGTCGTGGGCCTGCGGGTGGTTCTGGTACGGACGTTGCTGTGGTATTATGGCACCGAAGGGTCTTTGCTGCTGCACTGTTGGTCCCTGCTGTCGCATGGGAGCCCCTTGCTGCTGCGCGAAAAACCCGCTTCCGGGTCTCTGGCCGCGTTCGGGCTGCGAGCAGCAGATGGTGCCACTGGGACATGTCGTGGTGCGAAGCAGGAGCTGCGCGGGCTTCTGGCAAACGCCGCTCAAAAACGGGGGAAGACAGCGGCCGTCGCAGGCCGGTATGGGAGGCTCGGTGGTCGTAGCGGCCGCGCTGATGCAGCAAGAACCACCCGTCGGGCAAGAGTGAACCGGAGACACGTGGTCGCAGAGGATGCTGAGAAGCGGGGACACGCACGATCCGGGGCATTCTGGGAGCTTCGCTTCCTGGACTGCATCGTGGGATGGAGAGTGATCTGGCTGCTGGTGCTGCTGTTGCTGCTGCTGAAGTGCGCCATCCTGTGGTTGCTCAGCCTGAGGGGGACCGTCCGCGGAAGTGCAGCACACGGCGTCAGGACCGCAGGATGGCGAAGACAGAACGCGGTGACAATACTGGGACAGTCCGTTACCGACGCAGACACCGGTACACACATCACGCTGCGTCGGAACCTGCGTTGGTGGCGGTAGTGGTGGTGGTGTTGACGACGGCCGCTGCTGCTGCTGCTGCTGTGGTGGTGCTTCCACTGCTGGAGTTACAGGAGGGAGGGGTGTGGGAACGGTAGCGTTGCTGTCTTCGTCAACTGCAGTAGCAGGTGAAGTGGCAGGAACCATTTCGTCTTCGGCTAAGGGTGCCGAGGTTTCCACTGCAGTGCCACCCAGGCTAAACTCCTTGGGGACGCAGCAACGCAAATAGCTGGCTCCGCACTGAATTTCGTCCACTACTTGGTCGCACAAGAGAGCGGTGATGGCGTGCACGCATTCTCCTGGACACCCACGAGCTTTGCTTGTGGATGTAAGGGAACCCAATATTCCTGGCAGCAAACGAGAACGCATAAAATGCCGATGTTAATGCCAGAAGTACTATTCATGCACACGCTCAAAGCGCGAATCGTTCCTCAAATGCCAGCGACAAAACGCACGCTTCATTTTGAGAAAAGTCGGCTTTAATGTGTCGTCTTTTTCTTGTTCGATTTAGTGCTATCCATTCATGAGAAATTATGAACCAATTGGCCCGGCAACGTATTTTGTTAAGCTATGATGCTCAGTTTTGTTGTAATTGTGAGGCAAGTCAGATCATTTGAATTTATCGCTAGGTTCGTTGACGAGTCAAGCGGAGAAAACAAAACATTGTCTCAACCATGACATATGAATATGAATTCATTGCCTAGGCAAACATTAGATGTTTTGTTGCAACATAGACTTGTCCTTAAGCCATAATATTTTGTATGTATGTATTTATTAAGTTGGCCCAGGCTTTGCTGACTCGTCACACATTGTGACAATCGAAGCGTACCGGCTGCTATAGTACACCGAAAAACGTGCCGGACATGAATGTCCCAAAGCATGCGGTAAAAGACAGCGTACTTAGTGCTTAGTTTCGCATTCATGATACTTCATCATATGCTTGAAGAATAGGGGCCTTGTTTTAAGTGCACCGTTGACAAGTGGAGCCGGCTTTTCTCCCGACTGACTTAGTATGGCGACCTTTCATGCTAAGATCTCAAGCGGTCCCCTTACCCGAGAGTATGGCAGACGTGTCCTGTGCTTGAACACGAGTGGCCACCAGGAGAACCAATGGAAGTACAAACATCTTCGCTGGAAGGCTGGCGAGTGACCGAGCCATGCCGAGACACCTCGACAGCGTCGTGATGCAGCGACCGCCGCTGCGATTGGCGCGCAGCACTGCAGCCGGATGCGTTAGAAGCGTCGGAACAGCAGCTGAGAGCCGAGAGATGGTAGTGGCGCGTCGCTGGTTCACATGCGTACACGCGCAAAAAACTGCGGTGACTAGAGGTAGGGGAGGGCGGGGCGGGGGGAGGGATAGGAACCATTGCTTCCGGAAACCAGTTCGGGCGAGGTCGTCGCTCCCTGGGTCGGCAGAGCGCCCCGGGGGGAAGGAGGGGGAGTTTGGAGAGGAGGAGGAGACGGAGAGGTACGCGTCTGTCCGTTTCCAGGTCAGCCGGATCATGCACTTTCCAAGCACGAGAAGGTCACGGCCAAGGACGGCCGTTCAGCAACACCTGTGGCCGGCACTGGACAAGAGTCGGCCAGACGAAAAAGCCCCCCAAGGGGCTCGCACCGTTACTCTTGAGGAGGTGAAATTTGCTCCTCCCCATCGCCCTTCCACCAAACCACCCCTCCTCGTTACGTTGCCCGCCCTGCACGGATAACGCTGCGTGAACTAGAAAACGGTGTGGATGATTCCCATTTCGGACGTCCTTGCCCATCGAGCTTTTTAAAGCGAGTACTTACGCAGACTATGTAATCTACGTATGTATGTGTCTATGTAATTCAGTCAGTTACATCATTCGGCACGAACTCCTGGTAAGAAGAAGAAGAAGAAGAAGAAGAAGAAGAAGAAGAAGAAGAAGAAGAAGAAGAAGAAGAAGAAGAAGAAGAAGAAGAAGAAGAAGAAGAAGAAGAAGAAGAACTCCTTACCATCTTTTGATAATTGTAGTCGGAACAACAAAGGCCTTTAAAGATTCATACCCACATCAATTTCTGGGCAGCGTAACTATAATAGCGATGACGTTTTTAAGAATAAAACGGATGCGCTTGATCATACGGTGGATGCAGCGAAAAAATTGATGGTCAGTTTTGTGTACGTATAGCGTTTCTTCCGGATTGTTCCTTCAACCCGCTCCTTCCTTAATGACGTATTCTTTTGCGGGGGCACGAAGCAACGACGTAGTCGTGAGAAAGACATCAGAAGAGTCACGCCGTCCACGGTCATGTGTGGCTGCAGTGCTTCCTTACACGAGGGCCGTGTTAGAAGCGTCCACAACAACACGCGCAGGAATGACTCCTGCGGCTGCGTCAAACGAGTAAAAATAGCTAAACCGACCTTTGAGAACCAAGCACTGACTTTCGACATTCAAGAACATCTATGAAACTATAATGTCCCATTAGATACGGTTCGACATTTTTCGGTAAATTGAGAAAGATCATGAAAGGGCGGATTTGATTAAGTAAAACTGCACGAAGAAGCGTCATTTATAGCCACAATTGTAGCGCATCTCGGGTATTTTTTAATTTAATAGTAGTTTCATCTCGAGTCCGGCATTCACTGAGCTACCTCATCAGATGAAATTATAATGACTACTGGGCATCATTGGCGAACTCAAAAGCTTTTCAGCAGCTGATGGCAACAACTTAACGGCAAGTTTTTTTACCTACGCTTGATATTGTCAAGAACGAGACTTTTGTTAATGTCATGCGATAGCACAGTGTTATCACACCAAACGCCTTTTTCTGAGCAAACATAAGAACATACGTCGATGCAACGGTTGATTTTGTTATCTAAGATACAACAGCGTGAAGAGCGAAACGAAAAGATAGCACTTGCCTTGTCCTCTGGTCCAAATCAATTTTCTTTTTTCTTCCTTTCATTCTTCTTCCTTTCTTTCTTCCTTCTTTCTATCTATCTATCTATCTATCTATCTATCTATCTATCTATCTATCTATCTATCTATCTATCTATCTATCTATCTATCTATCTATCTATCTATCTTTATTTCTTGCCTTATTGCCTTCTTTACATTTTCTCTTTTCTCTATCTTTCCTTTTTTCTTTCTTTCCTTCTTTCGAATTTTCCTTCTATCTCAGTATCTTTCTTTCGTTCCTTTTATCTTTCTTTCTTTTTTGCTATTTTTTATATTTTTTCTTATTCCCTTGTTTCCTTCTTTCTTGTTATTTTTCTTCTCTTTCTTCTTTTTTTGCTTCCTTCTTTCATTATATGTACATTTACTTCTTTCTTTCCTATTTATATCTTTCTCTCTTCTCTTCTTTCTTCATTTCCTTCTCCTTTCTTTCTTTCATTGTATCTTTCTTTTTATCTTTCCTTCTTTCTTTCTATCTTTCTTCCCTTATTTTTCTTCTTTCTTTCATTCCTACTACTTTCTATCATTATTTGCTGCCCCGCCGTGGTGGTCTAGTGGCTAAGGTACTCGGCTGCTGACACACAGGTGGCGGGATCAAACCCCGGCTGCGGCGGCTGCACTTTCGATGGAGGCGAAAGTGCTATAGGCCCGTGTGCCAAGATTTGGGTGCACGCTGAAGAACCCGAGGTGTTCGAAATTTCCGGAGCCCTCCACTACATCGTCTCTCATAATCATATGGTGGTCTTGTGACGTCAAACCCCACATATCAACCAAACTACCTTCATTCCCTCTTGCTATCTTTCCTTTACTCGCCCGCGGGTATGTGCCACTATCTGGCGGGAAGTGTTTGACGACGTACGCGACGGGTTGTGTGACCTTATTTATGTCATGACCAGCGAGTCGTATTCGTCAATTTCTTACCTTCCCATACTAATTTTTGTTTACCCCAATCGCCAGAGCACCCAGACGTAGGCAGCTTGATAGATAGATAGATAGATAGATAGATAGATAGATAGATAGATAGATAGACGCCAGAAGTGCTTGCAGTACGCAAAGAAATACTTCGCACTTAATATTACTTCGTAATTCACCACGCCATATTGTCCACCTCGGCCCATACACGAAGGGTTGTGGCCGTCTGGTCTGGTGTGAGCATTACAGCTAGTTAAAAAGGGCAGCAGTTTAGTTAACAGAGTACCAAAGGCGTATTTAGAAAACTAATACTTCCCTATCCTTGTAAACCACAGTATCTCTTGGTATGTGTGTATAGTAGTATTTACTCAAAAACCTGGCAAGCTGACAGGGGGTGCATATGCCACATCCGTAGATAGAAGGCTTGTTTATGCCGCATCGACGGCGAAATGAACTGTGATGAAAATACATTTTCTTATCTTAATTGAAGTTCAGTGCACAAGTTCTATGAATTTTATACACTCATTCAGATGGCCCCTGAGAGGTGGGGCTTAACTGTCACCTTCACACTAAAAGAGCCTTGTACAATATAAAGAAATCACAGCATATCAACGAGGTGAATGATGACGAGTCGGGCGAAGCGTACGGACGGCCCGACGAACGCGCGGACGCGCAGAGGCACAGAGGAAGCACGGTCGGATGCACAGACGGCCGTACGGATGCATGGACGAACGCAGGGATGAACGGACGCACGGATAGACGTACGAGAGGACAGACGGACGCATGAATGGGCGCGTGGGCGGACGCACGAGCGGGTGCACAGACGGACGCATAGACGAACGCATGGACGAACGCACGGACGGACCAATGGACGGACCAATGAACGGAAGGACGCATGGATGGACGGATGAACGAACGCACGGATGGACGCACGGATGGACGGATGGACGCACGTATGGACGGAAGCAAGAAAGAACGGACCGCCGGAAGCACGGACGGAATGGCGGACGCTTCATCCCACTCATCATCATTCACTTAATGATTATGCTGTGATTTTTATTATTTATCATGCTACAAGTAACATCCTCTCGTACTGTACCCTTTGAATTTTTCGGCGTATATGCATTTCGATGGATAGATGGATGTATTGATAAGGTTGTGCCCTTTAGATCGGGCCACCTAGCCACCTAGCCGTAATACTTAGTGAACCAACAACCAGATTTATCTTTTTCCCCTTTAAATAGTGAAGTTGAGGACTGGTACCTTGCAGTGAAGGATTTAATTTTCACTCGTGCTTTGACTTTAGCCACCAATCAGATAACCTCCTTCTGGTTATTTCTACCCGCTTAAAGTCTATTTTGCCCTCGCTGTTTCTAAACCCCCGTGCTTTGAAAACTCTGCGCCATCATCCGGAACTATAGGATGCCCTTCACAGAACATTATCAGGTCTTCGGCAGTTTCCTCCTCCTCTCCACACTTACTGCATATCGTGTCTACCCCTCCGTATTTGGCCCGATAAGTCTTGATTCGCAATACTCCCGTTCTGGCCTCAAACAGTAACTACCCCAAGTATTATCACATATACTTTCCTTGGCAATTTCCTGCTTGAAAATTCGATAGATCTCTAGTGCGGAATTTTTAATCATGCCAATTATCCCTATGTCGGTCTCCGTTGTATGTAAAAGTACCAACCTCTACGGCTGGTTCAAGAACTAACGAGAGGTGGCTACATACCATTACAATGGGACGCTCAGCCCACGCTTTAAGGAGCTTCGCTACTAAAAAGACTCCTTTACGCAATGCGGAAGGGTTCCAGTCAAGAAATAAAAACAAGCTTAGGCAGAAATACTTAGGTCGCCAACCTTTTTTATAACGACCTATGAAATATGATGGATACAGAGTACAGTGTGAAAAGGAGCGAGGATTCGACGTGCAATGATTTACTGACTCTGTCACCGCAACGAAGACGAAGATAAGGAGCATGAGCCGCCGCCAGGGGTAAGCCTAAAGATTAATCTCATTTCGTTGCGTGTGTTGCGAACGTTCGTGTGAGGGTAAGATTAACGAAGCGTGTATGATACAGCGCGTTCTAGGTAGGTAGGTGTACCAGTCTCGGACACCTGCAGTGCGCTTGACCGTAGTTCGGTATCTCGCAACCCGGTTTGTCCCAGCGGGGTCGAACACGTGGGTACCTCTAAAAAGTGGCGTTTTTCTGTTTTTATTCTGAAACACGCCATATATTACCGTATGTGACAGAAGTTCATATAGATCCCAATCCTTCACGTGTGTACTTATTCCGGTTGCGGACTTCACGTAATTAGTCACAACTGCCCTGTCACAGCTGTA